AGTGAATAAGAGGAGAGAAAGATGGAAGGACTATATGGAAGCAGCATCATATTATGCCCATGTTGTGTGATGTCCCCCTTAGGCGACTTTGGGAAATGGTGATTCTAACCCCATTGGGTAATTTTTGGGAGAGAGCAGGTACTGGTAATTACACAAATAAACATGTTGGTTATGGTAGGTAATGGGATGTAATAGTCTTGATGAATAGAGGGTTGTGCAGATCGCTTCCAATGTCACCTCACCTGTTCCTCGCCCGAGCTAAGACACTGCTCTGGGTTTTAGAAAAACTAGTCTAACTGTGGCTCAGGCGACTGGAAATGGAAACTTGCCATCACAATTTGAGGAAGCATGTTTCACACCCTCCCCCAAATATCATGCAAGTTCTTAAAATTATAAGTCTGATGACACCATCAATTGTTTTTATTGAATTTATTGGGGTGACATTGGTTAATAAACTTACATAGGTTTCAGGTGTATACTTCTATAACACATCATCTGTACATGGTATTGTGCGTTCACCACCTCAAGTCAAGTCTCTTTCCATCACCATTTATCTCCCTTTACCTTCTTCTAACTCCCCTTCGCCCCCATCCCCTTCCCTCTGGGAATTAGCATGCTGTTGTCTGTGTCCATGAGGTTTTTTGTTTTTTGGTTTTGTTGTTGTTGCTTAAATCTCTTCATGTTTATCACCCAGCCCTGCAATGCCTTTCCCTTCTGACAGCTGTCAATCTATTTTCTATCTATGAGTCTCTTTCTTTTTGTTTTGATGTTCTAATCAATGGGCATTTCATGGTAATGGCTCTACAGCTGAGCAAACCTGTATTTGATTAAAAATTGGGTCTATTTAGAAGTCCCTGAATTTAAAGTAAACCAAGTAACTGCCAATCAATGTGGCAGCTGAAACGTTCAGTCTCTGAAGCAAAACAATAGGGCTCATGTCAGAGCCATCTCCCAAGTTTAAAAATTAATGTCATTTTGTCATTCCTTTTAAAAATCCATCTCTTTTTTTTTCTTTGAGTTTTTCTTCATGGCACCTGCTAACTGGCTTTGTTGTTGGACTTTAGGGCTTGGCGCAGTATTCTGTCCTCTTTTACGGCTATTACGACAATCAACGAACGATTGGATGGATGAATTTCAGGTTGCCGCTCTCCTATTTTCTGGTGGGGATCAGCTGCATCGGATACAGCTTTGTGGTTGTCCTTAGAGAGTAAGTTCCATTGGGCTCTTGGGAAACAGACAATGATTTCTGGAATCAAATAGGAGAATGGATGTAATTCCCCTCCACCCCCACCCTGTTCTACAGTTAGAGGGTGCAGAGTCTATGAGATAAAATGTTGTTCTAATACTGATGCAAATGTTAGACAATAACATCCTCCAAACAAAAGGATTGATTATGAGTACAGGCCTTTGGGTCATCTCACTGCATACCCATCCTGTGTTCAAGCATATTTTTAAAATGTGCCTTTTTGTACTTAGATGTGTGAATCAATGTTGCAAAGAAGACACAGAAACAGCTGCTGACTTTTGTTTTGTGTACAGAGGTTTGTGACTTGCAGAACCAGTTCAATAGGCAGAAATAATTGCTCTCTGTTCTTTTTTTTCAAAAAGCCAATATAATCGCTCATCCAAAAAGTTTTAGCTGAATAAGGTGGCAAAAACAAATGACCCCTAAGAGTATCCTGATCAATGGTATCATCATGGTTTGTCTTAGAAAAGGATTTATTAGAGCCAGAGAAGGATTTTATAGGGAACTGATGAAACACCTTTTTTTTTTCCTCTGCCTGAAATGCATAGGGTGGGGGTAAAGTTGGTTTACAGTTATATGTATAGAAAATAATGCAATCCTATCTAATCCTATCTAATAAAAGAGTAATATGCAAAATGACCATCACTCCAACACACAAGATAGCTGACCCCATGTGGACACAAGTTGGCCGCCACAAGATGGCCTGCAAGGGAGAGCAGTTGTGGGTGACCAGGCCTGCAGGGAAGGACATTTGCGGGGGGAGGGGGGAGAGCAGTCCTGCAGGAGAGGGTAGTTGGGAGGGACTAGGCTGGCAGGGGAGCAGTTAGGCATCAATTAGGCTGGCAGACAGAAGCGGTTAGGGGTAATCAGGCAGACAGGCAGGCAAGTGGTTGGGAGCCAGCTGGATTGTGAGAGGGATGTCCGACTGCCCAAGTGGGATCAGGCCGAAACAGGCAGTCGGACATTCCTCAAGGGATCCGAGGAAGAATTTTGTCCACATAGACTATCTATCCTCTAAATATTAAAAACCTAGATACACCATAAACCAGCTTCAATACATGCGTATAAATATTTTTAAATTAGGAAAAGAGAGAATATATTTATCTTAATTCTTAAACTTGACAAAGTAGGTTGTGGTTTAAGTATTTTACAGATGATAAAATAATATTAGAGATACCCAATGACCTACCTACAGGCATTTGACTGTATGACCTATTTGAACCAAATTATATTTGGTTACTTTTTCATGACACATTATCCCATTTAAAATAGATAAACTTTCCTAAGGGGTGGGGACATTGGGGGAATTTAGATGACCTTAGAGATGCCTGTCAACCTATGATGTTACATTTATGTCATGTTGCTTCTTTCTTTTGGGGTTCCATAATCACTATCATGTTTAAAAAACCAAAGCCTTATAGGATCATTTAATAATATGTATCATATGAAATTTTAGTTTTGCTATTTTTAGTGATTGGGGGAAAAAGGAAGTGGAATAAGTAGAAGACAGTTCTCTAATTAGTGAAATAAATGTGCAACTAAATGCATTTAAACTCTCTAATCTAAAAAATTATTTTTTAAATCACCGAGTAGAATATGTGTAACTACTGTCTCGATTTTTTATCAAGAGTTGCAGAGTAATGGAGAAATGCCATGCATTTGGTGCAATCACTCTTTTGGAAGACATTCTGGGGGGTGGGGGGGGAGGGATTGAAATGTATGCAGTTATTTCTTGACCTGACCTGGCTTCGTCCATCTTGAGGCTTCAGGGGGTCTGGCAACAGTGTCAGAGCCTACCTATGTTTTCTTTTCCTGGGAAGGAACCAATGGTTTTCTTCAGATTTTTAAAGAGAGCCTTGTCCCACAAAAGATTAAGAGCCAAGTATATGAGGCTAAGAAAACAAAAATATGTGTTTTTATATAACCAGTTTAATTTTTAAAATCATCAAGTCTTTTAATCTTGAAAGCCTGAAAAGTGCACAGTTTAAAAACTTAAAAATAAACTTGTGTTTTCTGGTTATTTTAAAAAAAAGTGTTTGAAAATATGTCTTTTAGCTATTGCATCTCCAATTAACCTATACTTAAGATGTTTTAACATTCCCTGTACTCTCCCCCTTTTTTTTTTGTATTCTGGTTGCTGGATTAAACTTCCTGTTTTTACAGAATGACCCAAAATATTGGTGACGATGGGGGTGGTGATGACAACACCTTTAACTTCAGCTGGAAGGTGTTCTGCAGCTGGGACTACCTGATTGGCAATCCAGAAACAGCAGACAACAAATTCAATTCTATCACAATGAACTTTAAGGTAAAGATGGCCACCTTTCAGAGTCTTTTCTTTGTATTTCTAATATATTTTTTATTGATTTCAGAGAGGAAGTGAGATGGGGAGAGAGATAGAAACATCAGTGATGAGAGAAACTCATTGATTGGCTGCTTCCCACATGCCCCCTACTGGGGACTGAGTCTGTAACCCACGCATATGCCCTTGACTGGAATAGAACCTGGGACTCTTCAGTCTACCAGCTGTCACTCTATCCACTGGGCCAAACTGCCTAGGGCTTTTCTTTGTATTTGTCAGAGTAAAATGGAAGCAATCCCATATGTCCCAGCTAACTAAGTATTTTGACAATTAAAATAAAGATTAACTCCTCATTTCTGCCTACTGGGACTTGGGCAGGATTCTGATTATGACTGGGAAATATCTGGTGACTCACAACAGCACTATCTCTTCTCTAAGTTTGGTATTAAAATAATGCCATTGGCTTAAAATAGGGGACCATTAGTAATCAGAATCAGATATTTTATATAACAGAACAGTGCTCAATATTTAAGATGACTTCGAAGTATTATTTTGTAGCTTTTAGAAAACTGTACTGGAATAGAATTTAGAATGAAGACTATCCTATTAGATTGGTTGGAGATGGTTTGTAAGAATCCTTCCTTTCTCTTACTTGTTCTCACTTACTGGCAATATTCATTGGTTTGTGAAATCCCAGGTTCAGTTAATTTTCATATCTTACATTCTGGTGTTAGCAAAATTAATTCCCGAGTTCATGATACGTGTGTAGCTCAGATATCTCTCTTTTTCCTGGGTACAGGAAGCTATAATTGAAGAAAGAGCGGCCCAAGTGGAAGAAAACGTCCACTTGATCAGATTCCTGAGGTTTCTCGCTAACTTCTTCGTGTTTCTAACACTTGCCGCGAGTGGATACCTCATCTTTTGGGCTGTGAAGAGATCCCAGGAATTTGCACAGCAAGATCCCGACACCCTCGGGTGGTGGGAAAAAAACGAAGTTCGTCTCTGCATGCTTTTTATGTGCTTAGAACCTGACATTTGACATTTTGTGGGTTATGCATCTATGGCAGCACATTAAATAAGGCCATCTCTACCTCTTTCCTCCATTTGCCCTGTGAGTTAGCCAACCCTGCCCTCACATTTTCCACTCTATTCTAGCCTTATTTGCAAAGCTGTCTACTGGCTGTCTTTCATTTTGGGACATTCTATGACGTTATAGTTGGGAGTGATGTCAGCACACATATATTCCAACCAGTACAGTTTACAAGGGGATGAGGCCTCTCAGGAGATTAGGTGATATGTTCATGGTCACAGAACTATGGAGAAACGTGAGTTAAAACCTAGGATTCTTGGTTTCAAGCCACACACTCTTTTCATGAACTTATGCTGATTTCTCTGGAGATCCTGCATCTGTCATTGAAAGAACCATTTGTTGCCTGAATTCTCAGAAGCAGCTATGATAGAGCTTTGGTTCCTGTGTTTCTCTCATGGACACATTCAGATTGCCTCCCTGACTTTGGACAAGTCTGGGTTCTCTCTGTGTTTTACTAGCAGCCTAACTCCCTATCTCCCCTTTCTCCTCCTAGCCTTCTTTCCTCCCTCTCTGAATGCTATTCAAATTAGGAAGGTTAGCTCTTTGCCAGGAATTAAATATGATTGTGATTCCCCCTCACCCCCAGCACATTTGTCTATTTAGCAGATCAGAGAAGGGAGGTCAGAGGTTGATATTTGAAATCAGGAAATCATTGGTCATCTATTGTTGCCAGGGCCTATTCTCTTTAATAAAATGTTCCAGCATGCAATGTGGCACCATTTAGAACTTGGGCATTTTCAAAGTTTGGGTAGATTTAGTCTGTGCAAAGTATAGACTTCCCATACTGAAATTTCTGTAGAGCTTTATAGACCAAAAAGATTTTCTTTAAGTATAGAATCTCCTTAAACATTTTTGGACAGTAAATGGTATTACTTACAACAAAAACTTTCAAACAAAAGCATTCTATATTTAGCCATGGTAACATTGTAGATGGAAGGCCATTCATTTAAGAGACTATGATAACTCAAATATTTCATGGAAACCTGTGAAACAGTCATTTGGTGGAGATATTTCATATACTTAAAACAAATAAACTTCAAAGCCTTTACTAAGTTTGCTGTCAAAATTCTTTCTTATAGTTGCGATAATATTTATAGGCATAATTATCATGCCACTTTAGTCTATGGTTCATATTGACCATATTTTTGTATAAATGAACCACAGTAAAGGGTCACTCTTTGTAAGAACCTGTTTAATATCAATTTTAGGAGATCCCTGAGTCCTAGGAGCCAACAAAGGTAATAATGGGGAGTTATGCATAACTATAAATTTGATAAAACAGAGTTAAATTTACCTTATATAAGATTGTACAAGGTCTGCCAAGTTTTTACTTTAGGCTGAAATGATATCATGCTGATTTTATGTTATGCTGATTTTTAGCTCCTGCTGGTCAGGCATATATAATGTTCTTAATAAAAATGGACAAAAATGGACAAAACGTATTGACAATTATTTTCTAAATATAGTCTAGTACTTCTAATCAAAATATGGAATCCACAGGGGGAAATAGGAAATAAATGTTTAATGGTGGCAATTTGAGCCAGGTATTTAGGAAAGACAGTTGCTAAAGTTACCAGAAATACTTTTTTTTTTTTTTTTTTTTTTAAGTTTAAGGAAGGCTTTTCTTCCACCATAATAGTAGTATCTGCTCTGGATTTTTTTTCCTTTGACTTAATTTAGCCAAATAATATAATCATAAGGGTGCCACTCAATCAGGAGGGAAGGAACACACATTTCATACTTGCCCTATTTCTCTCTCCCTCCTCATCCCTCCCTTCCTTATCATTCTCTTGCCTTTAGCATCATGAGCCAGTCATTTTTTGAAACTGTCTTGCCTTGGCTTCAGTGGCTTCAATAACATTATACTGTGTTCTTTGGTTCCTCTGAATGTCCTCTGTTTTCTTTGATAAAGCACTTTTTCTTTTTGCTCCTAACAGTTTGCATGTCCCTAAATTCAATGCTTAATCCTGAGCCCATCTCAAGAAAGTCATAATTAAACTAATTCATATGCTGATGATTATCAAGTTATTATTTACAATTTGGATCTCATTTTTCAAGCAGATCATTTTCCATTGCCTTTGAAAATGTGTTGTGTACTGCAACACCATATCAGAATCAGTTACCATGCGGAACAATATGGGTTCTTTGGGTAGTGAGTGATGTAAATTGCATCCCTCATTATACCAGGAAATACTGTTATTACTGGCACATACACAAGCTCATATATATATCCAAATCTTAAGAATGTAAGTTGATATTGACTTTGATGTTTTATTAAGATTAAATTTTTAAAATGCATGAGATAGTCTTCTTTAGTCTAATAAAAAAAATTAAAGGTATCAAGCTGGAATTTTGCAAAAGTCTGGAGAAAAGTAATAATAATCTCTAAATACTATTAACCTAATTTATCCCTTGTGTCTCTTTATAGATGAATATGGTCATGTCCCTCCTGGGGATGTTCTGTCCAACATTGTTTGACTTGTTTGCTGAATTGGAAGACTACCATCCCCTCATTGCTCTAAAATGGCTACTGATACGCATTTTTGCTCTTCTTTTGGGCAACTTGTATGTATTTATTCTTGCCTTGTTGGATGAGATCAACAACAAGGTAAATCGTGTGTCTGGATTGCCATCAGCACATTGTTACATTCTCAGTCTCAAGACTGCCAGACATGCATTTGATATCTGTGTTATGTTCACTTTTGTTGCTATTGCTTTGCTTTCTAGATTGAAGAGGAAAAGCTAGTAAGGGTCAATATTACCCTGTGGGAAGCCAACATGATCAAGGCCTACAATGCAACACTCACTGGAAACAGCACTGGGGCACCCTTTTTTGTGCACCCTGCAGATGTACCTCGAGGACCCTGCTGGGAAACAATGGTGGGACAGGTAATATCACAAACAGAAGTGCATGACAATTAATGGATTACAAAAGAGCAGAGTCAATAGCTCTTCCATAACTGTGGCCTAATTTTTTTATTGCTTAAACTAATAAAATACAGCTAGGATTTATTGAATGCTTACCATGTGCTGGCTGTGAATTTCATACACATTATTTCATATGCCTCCTTTTATACCCCTTTTACAGTTGCACATAATGTTTTCAAACAAAGTGAGTTGTTTACTACCTATTGGTGTTCTAATAAAGCAACTCGTTTTAATTTATATTACTCTGGGGTTTAAGAATTTTCCAATGTTTTAATTGACTGTATATTTTCTCCTGAGGATTTCTTGTTAGCAACATTTGCCAATTCTTTTCCTAATTGGATTATCCATCTATTGTCATACTGATTTGTAAAAGTTTTCATGTATTATCAAAACAAATCTATCATCTATGCTGCATGTACTTTTTCCAAGTTTGTCTTTAAACTTTACAAATATTGTTGTTTGCCAATTAAAATTAAACTTCCACGTGGCCAATATTTTCCTATTTTTGGTTATTATATGATAGTTATAAAAGTTTCTCAGTAATAGGTCTTTTAATACAGTGATTTTGAAACAGAAAATAATTATTTTTAGACCAATAAAATAAGGTTGAAGCATTCTTCATTTGCTAGACATGCCTACCTAGTTTCTTTACCATGAATTTGCAGTTTCCATGCTCATACTATTTAGAAACATGAACATAAGCTGTCTACACTAGGACCATTTAAAGACAAAAATGAAAATTGTAATGCAGATAATATCTCCACAGGAATTTGTACGGCTGACTGTTTCTGATGTTTTGACCACTTATGTCACAATCCTTATTGGCGACTTTCTCCGGGCATGTTTTGTAAGATTTTGCAATTACTGCTGGTGCTGGGATTTAGAATATGGATATGTAAGTATAATACTCATGTTTCTTTTATCAGATTATTCTTTTGCGGCTCATTGTTTACACACACTATGTAAGAAGACAACATCTCAGAATTTAGAGGGTGGGATCTACTTTTTATTATTTATTTTGTTTTTGTAAAATATATTTTTTATTGATTTCAGAGAGAAAGGGAAAGGGAGAGAGAGAGAGAAAGAGAGAGAGAGAGAGAAATATTAATGATGAGAGAGGATCATTGAACAACTACCTCCTGCACGACTCCTACTGGGGATCGAGCCCCTAACCCGGCTATGTGCCCTTGACCGGAATTGAACCTGGGACCCTTCAGTCCGTAGGCTGACACTCTATCCACTGAGCCAAACCAGCCAGGGCTTGATCTACTTTTTAGATGTCAATACAGCAGTTCCCCCTTATCTGCAGAGAATACATTCCAAGACCCCCCGTGGGTGCCTGAAACCACAAATAGTGCCGAACCTATATACACTATTTCCCCCTATATAGACATGCCTTTTTACTTACAGGAAGCACTTTATGGCTTCCTTTTGGCATATCTTACTTGCCAGAATCACTACTCTTGTGTTTTGGGGCCATTATTAAGTAAAAATGTTATTTGAACACAAACACTGCAATACCAGGACAATTGATGTGATAACCGAGATAGCTACTAAGTGCCTAACAGGTGGGTAGCATCTGCATAGGATATGGATGATGTGATGACTCACATCCGAAGCAGACGGGAGCAGGGGGGTACAAGATTTTATCACACTATGTAGAATAGCGGGCGACTTAAAACATACGAATTGTTCATTTTTGGAATTTTCCACTTAGTATTTTTGAACAACAGTTGACCATGGATATCTGAAACTGTGAAAAGCGAAACTGTGGATAAGGGAAGAACTAGTATAAATAAAGTCCAATGAGTATGGTTTTAATTCAGAGTGGGTCAGACATGACTATGATGGCTCACAATATTCTCATAAATTAGCACAGGATGGCTGAACTCAGTAAGTCTTGGACCCAGAGTTAGTTCCCTCCTCATGAAGTTTGTGGCATTTCCAGAAACAGGGCAGGATGGGTAGTGTCAACCTCTTATTCTATTAATGCCTTGAATGCTGCTAAATAAACTCCTAGACATGTATCATGGCTAGTCTCTGTTCAGTGCATTGGGAAATAGAAGGATTTATTAACTGTAGTGCTTACTTCATAAAGCTCACAATCTAAGAAGAGCTCAGCAGAGACAGGCAGGGGGCTTTTGAGGAGGTTTCAGGGAAGGCCGAGGGTGCAGACAGGGCGCTGGCAAGTGGTGGAGCTGAATTCCAGCAAACTGACTTTCTTTCCCATGACAACAGCATGGAAGTCAGGTTTCTTTGACTTTATCACCAGCTCACTGTCTGCGCTCAACTCCGGGTCACCACACAAGGTTCGAAGGCGGCAGCAAGCACATATCACAACTCTGTGGTCTAACACACTCCAGCGTCCCACTGTCCCTTTTTTGCAAATGAAACAGTCATCTTGAGAAATATGACCTGAGGGTTGGTTGTACTCATTTGCTTAAAATCCTCCAGTAGCTTATTTAGAAGGAATTTCCAACCCCTTTAATTCCTTATATGATCTGTTTCTTTTCTTTTTCTCTGAGCTCACCTCTTACTACCTTTGCTCTTTCATTGTAAAGTCCACAAATGTTGGGATTTTTTCTGATGCTCCAGTACAAGATGGTCCTTTCATTGTCACTAGCGGTTCCTTCTTCCAGGGATGCACATTCCCAGAATTTGGCATGGCTCATTCCTTTTTGTCATTAAAGATTCATATTATGTCACCTCTTTAGAGCTTTTCTCTGGCCGTCCATTCTAAGGTAGCCTACTGGAGACTCTCAGCACACTGTTTTATTTTCTTCATATGATGTTTAACTGCTTGACATTTCCTTTTTTAAAAGTGCTTATTATGTGTCTCCCTCTGTTAGAATGAAAGCTCTATGACACAGAGGCCTTGACCTCTATGCTTAGAACTACTAGTATGCCTGTCACATGGCAAGCATTAGGTGTTGACTGGCTGGTTCATTGTTGAACCTCCTCATTCTAGCACCATCAAGGCAACACCATGCATCTATTGGCAGATTTCTGCTTTCTTTCAGGCATGGAGTAAGCTCTGGCTTAATGTTTTTTGAGCCCACGGTGTTTCTCTTCTCACTAGTGAATTGTTATCCTTTACTGCTGATCTCCTTCCTGTCTCATGCCCCGAGTCTCAGGACAAGTCCTACATTCAGAACTCTCTTTAAGACTCTGGGCTAGCTCCTCTGCCTGGCTATCTGACTTTGAAATCGTACCTTCTCTTAGGTCATCTCTATCATCCTCACTGAAAGTGGCTCTCAGACAAGCCAAAAGCAGTTAGGTAATGCTCTTTGGTGAACGATAGTGAGGTAATGCTATAGATCCAAGATGCTGTTGCATTGCTTTCCTGTTCCCTGCAATGAGGTATTCAGCTGGCTTGGTTTCATTTCTGTTTTCCTTGCCTGATTCAGCTCTTCTGATGCAGACATAAAAATTGCCCCCTTTTTTGTGTTAGACTATTGCTTAGCTTATGCTTGCTTTTTAGCCCTTCTTAAGTGCAAAAAAATGTTCCTTTAAATATGAAGTCAATGCAACATGACCTGGCTGCATAAACACTGTAATTAAATGATCGATTTATTATTCATTGAATGCTGACAGTGCTCTTGAATTAGTACGAAGTACAGAAAAACAAGTTTCTGTCTTAAGTCATAGAAAAATAATTTTCTTCCCTGTTACCTTTGGAAAGTGCTTTGGAGAGAAGTTCAGCATTAAAACAAGTTTTAAAGCATTAAAGTTGAATAATGGATCTCTGATATGGATCTGATTATCATTGGTCCACCAGGTGAGCAACTTACACAAATTGAATGCCTACTATTAATAGAAGCGAAACATTATGAGCAAACTCTGGTGCTGGATGACAAAAGGATACAGAGAAAGAAAAGATGGAAGTCTTAGGAAAGGTTGCACACTTGGGCCTGCAAGCTGGATTCACCTTACAGCTGGTTTTTGTCCTTTGGTCCATAGAGTGATTTGTTTGTTTTTAATGAGCTAACATTTTAGAACTGGAAGACTTACATTTTAAAAATATGGATTTATTGCTTTCCTGATGTAGTGGAAGACCTGGAAACTTTAGAGACTTATATTCCAACCCTTGAGAAATTGGCAGGAGCTGAAAAACCACTGCCCTCTTCAGTTTTACTCATTCACCAGTTTCTTATTATACATTCCTTACTACTCTTTAATCTTGCAAGCTTCCATTGTCAGTACCTAGCAAAAAATGCAAATGCCATGGGAGAAATTTACTGTGATTGGACTTCCAGAGGGAAAGGGGAGAGGTCAATAGAAATGCAGACATGACAGAGGAGAAGGCATTTGAGCCAAGTCTTAAAAGGGTGATCAGAATTTCAAAGGCTTGAGGTGGAAGGAAGCATTCACAGTGAAGGACAAGGTATAAGACAGGGCCCAGCAGCTGGAAAACATGGGCAGTGCAAGCAGAGAATATAATATCTGTAAAATCTACTATGAGTTAAATATGAAAATAAAAATCACAGGCAATCTCACCACTATGGCATTGCTTATTTGGATTATTTGAATCACATAGCATTAACATTTATTTATATGTAAATAAACAAATATTGTAGATTTATTATAGATTTTTATAAACATATATTTAAAAATATATATATATTATAAATTTATATTTTAATATATTATTCAAGTGGATAAAATATATTTTATTAAAATGTATATTTTAATAAATATACATTTATTAAATATAAAATATACATTTAATGACTAATTGCCTACTTTTTTTTACCTAACAGTGACCATTTTTCTATGCTGTTAACTCTTCTTTTATAACATAGTTTTTAAATGGCTGTGTGATATTCTGTATATGAATATACCATCATTATACATTAAGCTGATCAATGGTGGAACTAAGCCTAGAACCCATGTCTGATCAACTAGATTTCCATCATGCTAGTTTTCACTGTAATGCTTAACCTTAGACATATGAAGGACTCTGCCACCTGATGGCTAATTCATGGGCCAATCTATGGCATTTGCAACTTAAGGTGTTCCCAGACTTAAACAGGTCACTTGCAGTAGAATAAAGTTAGCAGAAGATATTTGGATATAGAATTAGAAGATAAACTGATGTTCTCTAGCTAATAAGAAGGTATTATTTAGCCATCCAGGAAGATGGCATGACAAAAAATCAGTAAGAAGTCATGGGTATCCCCTGAAGGGATGAGACCATGGGAAAAGGGAAAGCACAGGCTGGATTTGAAGTTCCACTTGAACATTGGACAGCATCTGTCTACAGGCAACTAGGATTGAAGTGCAAACCTCAAGGTGTTGAGTATTCCTAGCAGATAAGGCTAGGATTTGTCCTCAGACAGTGGTTCTCATATATGAATATACTTTAGAATCCCCTGAAGGCAGGATAGGATTTCTGATTCAGGAGATCTGGGTTGGACCTGAGAATTTACTCTCAGTTTCCCAGGTAAAGCTGCTCACTGGTCTGGGGACCACACTTGAGAAGCATTGCATTAAAGGCACAGGCAGGCCAGCCTGCAGCTCTAAGAGGAGTGGTTCCAACCGTGGGAAATGAGATTTGTGTGAAGAAAGTCAGGCAGTTCATTGCAATAATAGAATTCTATCTGAGATTCTGAATTTCACTTCACAATATTCAGAGGTTGATGATCTGCCCCAAATAACTGAACTTGCAGAGAGAATGGGTTTTCCCAGGCTCTTTAGTCTAATGAGCACCATATGTCTTCCCTTTGTATAGAAGACTGACTAGCCCATCACAAACAAAGATCCCAATATAAAACAAGGTAATTTCCAATCCCTTGACAATTATGGATCTTAGCCCAAAACCAAATGGGCTCTTTGGTTGCTGACCCTTGAAAATCTTATTAGTGAGTTTATTATACGCCCATTTGAAACATTCATTAGCTCAGATTTCAAGAAAACCTTTTTATTTCCCACACTTCATTTACCTTTAAGCTTTTTAGATTTTAAAGGCAATTAAACACATTGCAAATTGATTTACACTGTTGTTATTAAAATATTGTCTTAAAAATTTAAACTATAATATAATCTTATATGTTTAAAAAAATCCACCTCTAAAAGAATGAGCATTGAATTGTGTGTGTGTGTGTGTGTGTGTGTGTGTGTGTGTGTACGCAAGGGGGTGCTTCTTGCATTTGTTTTGTCTTTAGAGTGGAAATTTCTGAGCTTAATGTCTACAGAATTAAATTAATTTCTAAGGTATTTACAGAAAAACAATTCTTTAATAATTGGGTCTAATGTTCAACCAATTACATATTTAGATTCAAAAGAGATTTTAGAAATTATTTAGAAGTGAGCAAACTTTCTCTATAAATTGCCTAGATAATGTTTTTGCTTCTGCAGGTGTGATATAATGAGAAATGTTTACTTTGGTCTTTATTCTAAGCTCCTGGCACAAAACTCCTAATACCTTTATAATTTCATAAGCAATAAAAGTATTAGGAACATCTTTTGTTCTAATATTTGGTCTTTGACCCTGGTTCCTGACACAGAGCTCCTTGGAATTTCTTGAGTGATAGGAACATTTTTTGTTCTCATGAAGTAAGTTTTGGTGAACTTGGAGAGCTTCAGGATGAGGCCTGGTCATCAAGAAGTCTAAGCCATAATTAGAAGCTTAAAATTTTAAGCCTCTTCCCCCCATCCTCCAGCTATGGTTTCTGGGCCATAGTGTGCCAACCCCTAATCTAATTTGTTTAATAAATTTATCTATGAGGAAACTGAGGCCAGGAGAGCTTAGTGACTGGCCCCGTTCACCCAGCTAGGAAATGGTTGGGCACAGTATTATTCTCAGGTCTGCATGCCTGTCAGGTATCTGTATCACCAAGCCACCTGCGATGGTAGGGCTGCTCTATACTCTTTGTCAATTTATTCATCAAAGCTTCTATTCCTCCAGCTGCCCTCACTGCAAACAGGTACCCTGTGTATCCTTTGAGCTTTTCTACTCACCTGATAACAAAAATATCTTATCTCATATGACCTTTAAGAGATTTGAGTGCTTGTGTGAATAAAAGGAATGTAGTCCTAAAAGGTTGGATTTTTTTCACTGTCTGTGATTTATTGGGCTAAATCATGACACTATTCTAAGAGGCCAACATTGAAGGTTTGATTTTGGAACTGACACAGAGCAGAGCTGCGCTAAGTGCACAGATGTCACAGGCCACCCAGCTGAGCATTTGTCAAACCTGTTATGTGATCTCTCAGGGCTCCAGGAGAGGAGAATATATGATCCAGAGTGAAGTTCTCCTGGGGAAGGAGAGAGACTCAGAATTGATGTTTCTCATGATTAGAAGCAATTTCTTTTTCTCCATGAAGGCCATGTTTGTTTGTTTTTTTCATTGTTGATTTTATGACAAAAACTGTCAACAAAGCCTCTTTTTTTTTTAGCATCTTATGAATGTTCTGGGTCTAGATAATTAACAAACATTCTCTATATAATTTAGCAGTATCTTGAGTGAATTTGTGCTGAAATCATCCAGGTCATCTTTGTTCTGCCTAGTATAATAGGGCTATATATTGATTCATTCTATATTGTTTTTATCTTGTAATTTAATCATTTTTGTTATGCCACTTGCTGTTTATCCCCTGAATCTATTAACAAGGCACATTGCTTGTATCCTTCAGTTGACTAGGAGAGTACCACTGCCTTTGGGAAAGTGATGAAGTTGACCTCGATTCAAGAATTCTTTAGCAAATATCTACCTTCTTACAACTATATGTTTGGGTTCTTGGGTTTGGGAATAACAGACATTTACATGTTGTGTGTGTGTGTGTGTGTGTGTGTGTGTGTGTGTGTGTGTATTGGGGAGGGAGTTATAAGGATACATATGGCTTGAAGTTACATGTGCAGATGTCAACATCTGGGGCAGTGACAGGGACCTGCGATGCTCATGGTCTCTCAGTCCTTTTACTTCCTATCTTTTTGCTGTTCTCTTTTGCTCTTGTTACCAATGCCTCAGTCTCCTTCCTGACTATTCTCTATTTTAAATCAAATAGAAGAAGCCCTGCTGTAGTGGATCAGTGGTTGAGCATCAACCTATGAATCAGGAAGTCACAGTTTGATTCACGGTCAGGGCACATGTCTGGCTTGCGGGCTTGATCCCCAGTGTAGGGCATGCAGGAGGCAGCTGATCAATGATTCTTTCTCATTGTCAATGTTTCTATCTCTCTTTCCTTTCCTCTCTGGAATCAATAAGTATATATTTTAAAAAATTAAGTAGAAGCAAACTTTATTGCCTTGCTAATTAGCATTTATCCCATTGATAGAAGTTTTCCTTATAGGATGCCTAATACGTCACCAGGAAGCCTTTGGATGGGCCACCCTTGGACAGATACCTATCTCAGTTCCTATCAATGGCCCCTTTGCACAAAGAACTGCCTGGTCCTTGCTGCCTTAAGCAGGATGGTATTATCCCAGAGACAAACACTATGCAACCAGTTAAATAACTTCTTTAACTTTGGTTGTACTTCTTAATATTTATTTTATTGTAAAAGAAATGCACATATTTTTATTGAAAAATATTTTACAATATGCAAAACTTGAAGAAAATAAAAGCTATAACCTATCCCCAACACAAAATAACTATTTTTAAAAAATATATTTTATTGATTTTTTACAGAGAGGAAGAGAGAGGGATAGAGAGTTAGAAACATCTATGAGAGAGAATCATCAATCAGCTGCCTCTTGCACACCCCCAACTGGGGATGTGCCCGCAATCAAGGTACATGCCCTTGACCAGAATCGAACCTGGGACCTTTCAGTCCATAGGCCGACGCTCTATCCATTGAGCCAAACTGGTTTTGGCAACACAAAATAACTATTGATTTTGTTGAGTACTTCCAAGTCTTTTCTTTATACATAGTTTCATAAAGAGTTCATAAAATAATGAATGAATAATATTGTATATTTTTCGTTTAATGTTAAAATATAGTTTTCTCTTAAGTATGAAAACATTCTTCCAACAATGATGTAATTAGCTGTGATATATATCATATTATAGATAAATTTCAGTTACTGAACCAATATCAGATATTAAGATGGCTTCATCTCTGCTTGTTTATGTTTTTCAACATTTAAGATAGCTTTGTTAGGGCACGTTCTGAGACTTAACAGGGTTAACAGGAGTGAGGTGTTTAAAGCTTTAAATATGCATCCTTAAATTGTTTTTCTAACAGGCTGCTCTGATATTTACTCTCCCCAGCAGTGTTTGAGAGCGTGCATCACCATGCTTTCATAGCACTGAATGACAGCATTTTAAAATGAGTTTTACAATGCTAAAAGAGTGCTTTATTACTTAACTTATTGCTAATTATTTGTTATATTGATCATCCTGCTATTTATGCTGTAAGAAAATAGTTGAGAGCTTAGCCATACTTATGCAGAAGCATAAACCACTTGCCTTTCAATATTTACCCAGTGAGGTACTAATCCAATGAATGTCCATGTCTCTTCTAGCCTTCATACACCGAATTTGACATCAGTGGCAATGTCCTCGCTCTGATCTTCAATCAAGGCATGATCTGGTAGGCAGCTGTTGGATAGTCTACCACTTTTTGAAAAGCCTCCAAAATCAATATTGCGTAAAACATGGGAACCTGGTGTCAAAGGAGATCACAATCTGTGTCTAAGTCAACATCTGCCTTTGTAGGATGAATGGCTCTGAATAGTTTACTTTTTTCTTTTTCAAATCTTCAGTCTTGGTCCTCAAAGGTAGATCTGCCTGTTTGGCCCAGCCTCCTTCATCAAGTGATGGGCATCTGTGTTCTGGTTGGTAGATTATTGGAAAGCGTTTTGCATATTCTGTCCTGTGACTCTAGGATCTAACAATGAAATATTGATGATCACATTACTACATGGTAAGTATGGGATAAATTAATGTGAGATCTTTCTGAGGAACTGATTTTATCTTGTCATCACTATTGAATACATTTAAAATAAAACTTGTAGCTACTGTTAAAAATAGTATCTTACCAAATCCAATAATTTATAGAGATAAAACATATGTTTTAGGAAGGTCAAGTTAAAAATATGATTGTTATTTTGGAACTTGATTCACAGGGCCATTTGCACATCAGAATTATTTCTTTTGATGTACAAAGGATTGTCGTATCTTTTATCAAATGAAATCATTCTCTCTGAAAACCTTGACAGGTTAAGATGAATAGATATAGTCAAAGCCATTTTTTAGTTTAAAAATTGAATGACAGCATGCAATTCATCTGGGGACCATGTGCCTTGTAAATCTGTCACTCAACTAAGAACATGCCAACTCCACAGGCAGTTACAATTGACCTTCTTTATCCCATTGATAGATGTCTAATATAATATTGTGCCACTGATTACACCATTGTCTTAGGTACAAGTACTAGTGACGAGTTCAGTTTTTGCATAAGCATCTTATATTACTCAAATCTTTCAACCATGGCTGTCCTGAATTATTAAACCTTTGTGAGACTGGACCTTCTGCAAATTGTTTTACTTTAGTAATATAAAGACCATAGCCAAAGACCCATTCTTGTCAAGTTCCTGGGCCTCATTAGATCAATCACTGCAAAGAAAAGATTAAGTTATCCATTGTCAGGTGTATTTTAAATGTACTTCTTGGTTAAATTCGCAAGTTATGGCTCATGTGTCCAAAGAGTCATGAAGAAGTGAAATGCATCTTTTATTCTCCACACACAGGAAAGTCAAGGTGGTCCAACACATGACTAACAGAGAGTCAAGGCAACAGCTTCTGTGGGTCCTAGATCTTTTCTTTCCTGGGGAGGATTCTGCTGTCTATAAGCCTAATGTGGCTGATGCAGGGCTCCAACATTGCTACTACAGGCATGAGAAAGCACTGTGTGATAGCAGTTTCAAAACTCCCTGGCTCATGCAGAGTGCCATAAATCCCTTAGGCCCGGGAAGGGGGGGAGGGTGCCATTTGTGCGGACATGTTCTTGTTCTTTCAAAATTTAGACAACACATTTGTCTAGAAATTACTTTTCATTATTAAAAAAGCTGTTATAATGGCTGCCTGATTGGTTTCACTTGCAATTTCATAACTGTTTCTATATATCACTATTGTTCATATTAACATAGTTAAATATCTAAAAACCTTCTTCGCTCAGAGGTAGATCCATTATCAAAATCTCTGCAGTATTGCACTATTGCTTTCCATGTATTCATCCTTGAGCTGTTGAAAGTCTTGCTTCTGATGGGTCTGAGGAGGACTTTAGAAAGTGAATGTGCTTTTTGAGTGACAAAGATAGGCACACAACCAGAGTTCCAGAAGCAAAAGAACTGTTACTCGCCTTCAGGCCAACCCTTTGTACAACTTCCCTTATCTAACTCCCAGGGAGTTGGTGAGGGAGGGGTGGGGAGTGTGCAGCCTCCCTTTCCTGCACAGGGGCACTCACACATGGTAATCTATTTCATGAGGCATTAGGATCTGATAACTGGGTTTGACCACTTGTTGCAGAAACCAACAAAAGAGCATGGGGATTTTGAATCTAATTTCTTTCATTTGTGACTAGAGACATTCAATTACTGCTTTAGGAGTTTCTGAATAGTGAACATTCCTTACTCTGATGTTATTAAAGTCAAATGTTTATAGGTCAAAATCAGTTTGTTATGAATTGACTGAAATCATCAGTAAAACTTTATATTACACATTTATTTTGTAAATTTATCTTTATTATTGGAAGTATTACAGATGCCCCCTTTATTTCCCCCCACTGTCATCCCCCTTTCTGCCTCACCCCCCAGATATTCATAGCACTATTGTCTGTGTCCATGAGTTATGCAAATATGCATATACGTTCTTTGGTTAATCTCTTCCCTCGCCACCCCCCTTCCCTCTGAGATTCCTCATTATTTTTGAAATGGGCAGCATAGGCTTTTGTAATCAAATTTTTAAGTGACAAAAGCACAAATTATCTGTACTGTAGCAGGATGCAGAGGTAGCAGAACACACAGCGAGAGAGAAGATGGGTTTGGACATTGCTCCAACATTGCCTCATTGTATACCCTCCTGCCAATCTTTCCCCATTCACTACCTCATTTTCTCAGTTGATCACACGTGAATAATTTGCCTGACATGTACCATGTCACTAGAGTAATAAGAGAAGCTAAATAAAAGAAGCTTTCATCTGCTTTGATCTTCTTGGAAGAAAAGCATTTTATTAGGCTAAGGTATTACTGTGATCTTTGCCTGACAGATGACAGGATCAAGTCTGGGTAAGGGACTTAGTGAGCCAAGCTGATTAGTGGTGAGTCATGAACAATGATAGGGTGAGCATTAAGGTTCTGATATCACTGTGCCAGGACCTGTTTTTCTAGGTTATGGCTCTGTGCCATTTGTTCAAAATGCCCATGTGATATTCATTTGGAAATTTTTTAATTTATTTATCTATAGATGTACATACATATAGTAAGTGTGTACATATATATGCATACAGGCAAATGATGCATGTGGGGGAGGGTAAGAGATCAACCAAAAGACTTGTATGCATGCATATGAGCATAACCAGTGGACACAGACAGTAGGGAGGTGAGGGTATGTGTTGCGGGTGGGAGCAGCCGGGAGAGGTCAAGTGCGGGGAGAGAGAAAGGGGACTTATGTAATACTTTAAACAATAAAGAATTTAAATTTAAAAAAAATGATGCATGTATATGTATAGATGCAAATATATGTGACTTTAGACAAGTCTTGGACTTGAATTATATACAAAATTGTGCCCACGGATAGACTAGATTGATTAGCAATGAAACACAGACCTCCAAATTAGACTGCCCATTATTGAATCCACACAGAGTGCTATATTTGTTACAACTGAAGAACTACCTGAACATGTTATTATCACCCAAAGTTCATACCATTTACTAGTAAAAAAATATTAGTTTAACTTCCTATGAAGTCTCTTGTCAATTCAATGCAGTGTGTTGAAATATCATTCAGATCTGTTGTGTGGAATCCTAGTAAGACAATATGAATTGTGACAAGATTTCACTTTTCAATGAAATTGTTGAATGTTGGGTTGCACAAGTTCAATTATAGCAGAAACTAATTTCTTCATCTAACTCAGCTCTAATCCCCAGATAATATACCAAATTTACATTGAATGGATTAAAATTATAATCCTAACTTGAAATGTTCAGGTCTTTATTATAGTTTGGACAGTTTTAAAGATGGGACTCTGCTTAAACTTCTAAAATAAGTAGCATCTAAAACCTCTTTTTGGTTTTGGACTCATTAATTTCTATTAATATGGTGCTAATGAATTTTCTCATCAAAGAAAATTAAATTTATTTTGTTGCAATAACCAATGATGTCATAAAGTAAGAATGACCTTAGCGAAGTTTTCTAAGTGGTTCTTATTTAAAATACTTTTTAAAGATCTTATATACAAAGCAGTGGATTTCCAGGACAAGCTAAAATAAAAATGTAGACAGATAAACAAAATTGAGATGTGTTGAATTGTTATCTCAAAAGCACATAAAGCTTTGCTGTGGGATATCAACAAAACATAGCATATTAGACACAAATACATCATTCCCATCAGCTCTAAAACAACATGCCAGCCACAAATAAAACCATTCAATGGAAATCCACACACATACACCCTCAAGCACTTTTCCCCCCCGTTCTTGGTTCCAGAAAAGTTGGGGATCAGCACAATGGAGTACCGCTGAAAGGCACCTGATTTGCAAAGAGACCATGCTTATATTTTGTGTACACAGTCAAATAAATTCACATTTTCTCATTCATGGCTAATATCAGAAGATTCCTAGCACTAGTATTTCCTTGTCTACATGATATAATACTTTCTCTTTCATTAAATGAGAATTTGTCATCATGACAAAAGTACTTAATCCAAATGTGCAGTTTATTTGAATGGAATGAGTGCCTTTTAAAAGCCAGTTATTAAAAAGTTCACTTTTTGGCTAGGTTAATTAATTATATGAGAAATTAAGTCTATTTTAGAAGTAGGAGACAGAAGGAAAACAAATGTTATAAATATATAGTTTACTCTGTTAGAATTTAAAATTACTAATAATAGTAGATATGATTAGTAATCTATATCGTTTCTATGAAGGAAGTATGCATACAATACCTATAATAATGGGGGCGATGGTAACATGTATAGAAGATGGACATGCATTATTTATAAAAAGAGCTTGTGTGGTTGAGAGTGGCATTTTCTGCCTTTGGCAGATAAGCATGATGTGAAACAAACAGGTGCTGTCTGGCCTTGTTCTGCAGGGAAGACCTGAATTGACCTGAGCTCTGTTTTCCTTTTTAGGATGGGCTCTTTCTTTGCTCCCAGCCTCCCAGGCATCAATATCCTTCGACTCCACACATCCATGTACTTCCAGGGCTGGGCCGTGATGTGTTGCAACGTCCCCGAGGCCAGAGTCTTCAAAGCTTCCAGAAAGAATAATTTCTACCTGGGCATGCTCTTGCTCATCCTCTTCCTGTCCACCATGCCCGTCCTGTACATGATCGTCTCCCTCCCGCCATCTTTTGACTGTGGCCCCTTCAGGTTCTTGTCTTTGAAATTCCATTTGGGCATAGTTTTCTTTCAGGTTTGGGCAAAGGAATGGTTAGTCATTGTATGAGTTATTTTGGTGGTGTTCGAACAATGGCTGTGTTAATTAATTACGTGCACACTGGCCACCAGGGGGCATTTTGATATGTAGCATGAGTATTGGGTATTCTGGCTCATTCTGTGTCATGGAGATTTTTAGATAAGTTCCATCAATTTTCTCATGTGGGAAACAAAAAAGGGAAAATGATTTAACTGCTCCAGGTTCTGCCTAGGTAAAATATGGACAATCAATCTGAGCTATTTCCATTTAAGGAGATAGCAAAGAGCTAGTCTGGAGGTGAAGGTTTTCTTGATGCTGGGCCGTCATATCCAGACAATTGAAGCTATTGCTATGTTTCATGTGGACCACCACAATGAAAAAATAAAATATAACGTAAATAAATATAGCAGACTACCCACATGCCACCTATGACATGGAATCATTATCCTATATAATAAAAATGTAATATGCAAATTGACCAAACAGCAGAACAATCGGTTTCTGTGATGTGCACTGACCACAAGGGGGCAGCTTCTACATTGAGTGTCCGCCCCCTGGTGGTCAGTGCACTCCCACAGGGGGAGCTCCACTCAGCCAGAAGCCAGGCTCACTGCTGGTGAACCCAGTGGTGGCAGCAGGAGTCTCTCCTACCTCTGCTGCAGGCTGGCGGTAAGGGGTAAGGAGCGATGGGGTCCCGGACTGTGAGAGCTCCAGACTGTGAGAGGTTCAGGGAGATAGGGCTTAAGCTGGCAGGCAGACATCCCCCAAAGGGTCTCGGACTGCAAGAGGGTCTTGGACTGCAAGGTCGGGCCGAAAGACACCCCCCCCCCCAGTTGTACACTAGGCTTCTAGTTAGATAACAACATAAAGAGGGTCTCACAATTTATAATCCATGCTACATGCCAATAAACTATTAAAGTTGTTTCTCACATAATTCTCCCTAAATAACAAAGATAAATCACTCAAGCAGTAATATAAAGAGTCAAGAAAGCACTTTCATCCAAGTTGGAAAAGTACCTTCTCCAGTTTTCTATGACATTGTTTGCTCTCTGACATGTATCAAGACAGTAACGTTCCCAGGATCTGGAAGATTGGACTTCATCCTTTAAAGGGATGCATCTCCCACAAGTCCCTCCCCCCCCCCCCCCACAAAGATCTGCATGTTGAGTCACTGGGCAGTGTACATTTGCGTTATTCCTCCTTTTTTGTGAAGAAAATATGAATGTGAAAAGCCATGTGAATGTCAACTGTGATGCCATAGTGGCCACATATAATTTCCCTGTCGTGCCGTCAAACCCAAGTTACTAAATTAAAGTCAAAAGGTTTGTTGCCCATCTGCTGAAGTATAATGGAGGCATTTTACTCTAATAATAGTTTGAGTTATTATTGCTTTACTGGAAAAGAAAGAAAGAAAATGTTAAGCCAGTGGATTGGGCAAAAACAGCTGGAGGTCTGTCAATTTAGGAAGCTGATGTTGACAAGTCCTATTCATTCCCCATCCCCACCCCCCACCCCAGGGGGATGAAATAAATAATGCAGAGAGTGACATCTGGAGACTAAATATGAAATTGCAGTTTTGAAAGACAGATTGGTATTAATAAATCCTGGATAAATTTCAGAGTACAAAGTTCAAGAGGTAAGCCATACAAATATTGGTTAACTGCAAATTACCCCATAACTAAATATTCAGGATAAGTTTCAGGTATGCTGCTAACTTTTTAATTGGAAATTGATCCTTAGGAAAGCATATCAAAAGAACTTAACCCCTATAAGGGAAACCCCACAACATCAACACATAGCTGGGTGGTGGTTATACAGGTATATTCACATTCAAAATATCATTGAGCTCGACACTAAGAGTGACTGAACATTTTTATATTTTTGAGCTCTAACTCATCTGCTTCGCATTATATCACGAGTTACTACGGTTGTAATGGGGGAAAAAAATCAGTCTGTGTCTAAGGCATAATATATGATTTTGAACAAGTATTTTCTAATTGGAAAACTTAGGCAGAATTACTAAATATATATCACTATTTTGAGATCAAGAAAATTTAAGTATTTTCAATAGAGCATTGGAGAAGGGGCTATCTCTGTCCTATTTAGATAGTCTATTTTTTTTCTTGCCAGTTTTCTCATTAGGGGGCAAAAGAATATATACTTTAAAAAATTTGTTTAGACTTAAAAGTTTAAAAGGGGTTTCTGCCTTAGAAATTAGGTGAAAATGGTTATGACTTACCATCTTTAGGGACTCTGAGTTTGAGGCGATTTGCCCAGCCTGTTGACTTCCGGGTGACTGGGCGGGCAGCCAGTTGGCAAATATGCATTTGAAGTAGGCTAATGGAGACACCATCTAGTTACTCCTAGATGCAGGTGTATTTTCAGGTGTGGTGGCTACTACAATAACTAAAAATATCTATTCTGCAAAGCAATTTGATGAGATAGTTTAGCTTGTTCTGGTTTCACAAGACCTGGCTAGGGAGGGTGAGTTTCCCAGAAAAATCATTCCAATAGACTATTACATTGATTTACCTTAAACAGTTAAATAATTAAAAAAAAAATAAACACAAACATTTCTTTGGTATTTGGATGACCAAGAATCTTCTAAATGCTCCACCATATTTCCTAACACCTGATATTTCTCCCCCAGCCCTCTCATTAATAATCTTGAACATTTTCAACTTCTCTAAGTTCTCACATCCCTCCCTGCTAACATCATGGTAATTATGTATTTACTAGAGGCCTGGTGCACAAAATCCATGCATGGGGGAAGGGAAGTCCTTCAGCTTGGCTTGCACTCTCTTGCAATCCAGGACCCCTCAGGGGATGTCCGACTGCCAGGTTAGGCCAGATCCTACAGGGATCCCTGTGTGATCGGGCCAAAACTGGCATTCGGACATCCCTCTCACAATCCAGGACCGCTGGCTCCTAACCGCTTGCCTGCCTGGCTGCCTCATCACCTCTTACTGCTTGCCTGCCTGATCGCCTCTAACCACCTGATCGCCTCTAACCACCACTGCAGCTTCATCCACAAGGATGTCCAGAATAACATTCAGAGGGTTGTTTTGCTGTCGGGTCTAATTACCATATTATGCTTTTATTTTTATAGATATATTTTCATCTGACTGCAAAAGTGATATGTGTTTGTACTAAAAACCTGGAAATTGTAGAAACATTTTCACCAAAACAAAACAAAACAAAACAAAAAACACAAGACTACTCCAAACCCACAAAGTCCTGACATACCAACTTTCAACAGTTTGGTATTTTGCATTCTGGTTTTCTTTTGATGAAGATTTAAAAAAAAATAAGTGAGATCCTACAATATGTTTAGGTTTATAGTGTATTGTGATCCTACTGTTACACCACTCATTTGCAATCCTACTATTCTATGTACCTATTTTTCTTAATATTGTAGCTGACTCCCAGAGGTGGGGAATGTTTTCATCTTTCTGAGTCCAGAACATAGTAGAGTGTTAGCCAGTAACTTGAATTAATGAATTGTACACTAAACACGAAGCCAGAAGTGGGGTTAACTTGGGCATAGACTTTCATTCTGCGGAGCTTCCAGTCTGGCGGGAAAGACAGGGGTGCTCTGTACCAATGTAGGGCAGATGGAGCTATGCTCATGGGAAAACTATAGAGTAAGTGCAGTAGCATTTCACTTGACTTTATGGTCACAGCAGACTGGAAAGGATTTCTGAAAATATTGTGAAGCGACATATGTTGGCTTACCTGTCAAAAAAAGGTATTGGCAAGAATTTATATATGCTTCTATAGTTGGTATAACATTAAGAGATCTCTACTAGTATTCTTGGTAAGAGACCTGACCTGGAAAAGTTATTCAAGAATCCCCAGAGTTGCCAATAACTTTGCACTTGGTACACACAAGGATGCAAAGACCTTTGTAGGTAGGGTATATTTTGTACAATTCCAATTCCCAATTCCCATTCTAACCACATTCCAGCCAGACAAGCTGGAGAAGGGAGAGTAGATTGTCTTATCTTCTCTCCTCATTTACCTTTTCACAGCGGCTGTATTCCCAATGACTGGGATATAGATATTGAAGATAGTAAACTTTAGGGGAGGTGATAAATTGCTATCATCTTAACTTGTCTGTAAACTTCATTCTCCTTTATGTACCTTAGGCTTTTCTAATTAGTATGGAACTCTTTATTGTGAATAAAAATTTATACCTCAGTAGTCCAGCCACACCTGAGAAGATAATTATGGAGTCATTCTTAGGCTATTGGAAAATATTATTAGATCAGGAGAAAGAAATTGATCAGCTCATGTTCATTTAGTAATTGAGGATGTTCATTTAGTAATTGAGAATGTTGAAAGATAAAAAAATAGTGAAGCTAAGATATTATATTGTGTTACACCAACCATTATTTTGATGATACATAAAACTTTGTGATAAAAACGCCTAGGGTCTTTTCTGAAAATTACATCTTTTCAAAGTAAAATCAATATGCATAACAAAAAAATAAGTTAGCAGGATGGATATTGCTTTATAATTTTAATATTATGTACTAAGTTAAGACAGACATTTCTTCTCATTTTTCTAGTTTATAGTGTTTTGGTTTCATTTTAATGGGTTGAGAATGAGCCCATTTAGGACCTTGGCTTTTAAAGCTCGTTTTTCCTTCTCCTCCCATTTTATGTGCTTGGCAATGGAACTGAATTGGTACTTTTTAAAGACCTGCCCAGAAGAAATACTGAGAGAGAAAGGACTCATCATTCAGTGTGGTTACCTATTAATAGCTCTCATCAAGGAGATTTGGTGGAAAATGAGATAGAAGCTATTGCATGGAAAAGATGTATTGGGTTATTTTTGGATTTGATTCCATTAAGCTATTCCTTATGCTCATCTCCACAGCAAATTAAAAAAACTGAGCACTCTGTTTATTCAGCCCAAAGAAAGTATTCTTCTATAAGGAGAGCTGGCTGAGGGGTAGACTGATAAGCTATTTATAAAACAGTTCAATCAAGATGTTAGACATACAGCTTTTACAGTTTGTCTCCTGATTCTGTGGTGAATTTCCTACAGGCTTTGATTATGTGTTTATGTTGGGATGAAATGTATCACATCTCATCCATGAGTTACAGCGAAACATCAGATTCCTAACCTTAACGAGTATCTAGGCAGTGTTTGCAAAAGATTTCTAGTTTTTCTTATTCTTTTTTTCTGTAACCATGGTTTCCATATGTTTTAAATAAACTTCTTCTTTTTTTCTCCAGTGGCAAAAATAGGATGTTTGAAGTCATTGGCGAAACACTGGAGCATGATTTCCCAAGCTGGATGGCGAAGATCTTGAGACAGCTCTCTAATCCTGGACTGGTCATCGCTGTGGTTTTGGTGATGGTGTAAGTGCTTTCTCTCCTCAGAGAAAGGGCCTTTGTCATGTGCTTCTTGGCACTGTTTCCATTTCAGCCTTCTCTGCGCTCTCCCTCTCTCCAGGGGCTGTGCTAGAGCCTAACCTGATTCAGTGCTGATTTCCATGGTCATGAGAGGCTAATGTTTATGAGCCCTATTCAGATCCTCTTGGACATAATTCACAGCCATCTGCATCTGTCTTTGCCTGCCTAGGATTATGAGATTTGTTCCCAAGTAACCAAAATAATGATCGATAAACAGCTACAAGCAAGGGAAGCATAAGGGCCAAATGCTAGATGTAATCAGCACATTGAGCTTCCTCCCTCCTCTTCTTGTTCCATAAAGCAGATGGCTGTGCACACACAGAAGTGATGAGCCTCTAAGTTAATAATCCGGTTGAGAATATGTTTCAGGGATCAGGGCTTAAGGGGATTTAAAAAAATCACCGTGTCCTGGTACCTAGGAAGCTGTCAGTAGCTGTGTGTCTGTAGTAATAGGTCCAGAGGACCAGTAGGTCTTGGAAAGGTCACCCAGTTGGTCCCTTCAAAGTCAGAGGTGATACTTAGAGGACAACTTGGGAGGGAGCTTTTGTTTCCATGTTCCTTTCGCTGGCTTCAGACTCTTGGCCACCACAGATAAACTTAGATTCTAAGTAACAATATGTGACTTTTGTGGAAGAGCTATCGTTATTCCCCAAGACCTTCCTCAGGAGAACGTTTGGAACTGCCTCTGCTCTCAGCCAAGAAGGGCAGTATGAAACCATCCTCAGGGACACTGGAAACAAGGCTGACACAAGGGTTGGGTTCGTTTCAATGAAAGGAAATCTTGGTGAGACACCTCCCAACAGTTTGAGGTAAATGAGCTGGGTCTGAGGCACCTTGTTCCCATTGTCTTAGTGATGGTCATGGTCGCAGGCCACATCAGCGAAGGCATGTGTTATATTCTTCAATTGTATAAATGAAGAAACAGACAGAGGGGGGAAGTGATTTCCCCCATATGAGACCAGAGCAAAATACTAATCATAGGACTTGGACCGTGAATCCAACATTCACCCCTTTACACCTGATGCCTTCTTTGAAGGAGAGGTGCTAGACTATGGGGGATAATTAAACCGGAAACAGATTACTATTTTTTTTTAGAGACTAGTATTTTTCAATTAGGTGAAATGGAGCTCAACTTGTTTCATTTCAATTGGATACCTGAAACTTTTCTGCAAAATCCCATTCTAATTTTTTTAAGAAAGTAAGAGACTATAGCTTAGATATTTCTTTATTCTTCAGAAAGGTGACTATTATCCACTAAAACCTGGGTCATGGGGTGGTATTTAGGATCTGATAGTAAGTCCCTGGTGCAGATGTGTTGGAAAATGACAAGCAGGAGGCAGCATGTTCTCCCAGATGGCCTTGACGTGAGTTTTCCTGATCCATGTTTTCACAATAGAGCGGCTTCTGAGAACGTTTTGTATCCTGCAGCTTTTAAAAGTCAAAGCCCTGTGATGATATAAATGAGATCTCATTACACACACACACACACACACACACACACACACACACACACACACAACTTAATGTCAGGTTTTATGACTATATTCTTAACTAGTTGATAGATTTATTTTTAAGCAAAGGAGCAACAGTGTTCCAGTGCCACTAGCTAAGTCTTTCATAAGCTGTCGTGGGGTGCAGAAAAGGAGCTAACATGGCCTTTGCTGCAGGTGCTTACCCACATATTAACTCATTTAATTTGCACAAGAATTTAAGAAGAAGTTGGCCTTTATTATTGATAGCACATGAAGCTCTTCCCCAAATCTAATGGCTAATAAGTGGATTCAAACCCATGTGTAATTCCTACCTCTTATTCCCCCCACTCATTTGCAGTACCAAGCACTGAGTTTGGGATGAGTGGGCATGTTCAGGACTGGAAGGCACGTGTCAGGGATGCTCTATTCCCAGGGTAAGCAGATTTGTTCTTAAAAGGGCTGCAGAGGACCAAGATATTTTAGGCTTTGTGGACCAAATAGTAAAATTGAGGATATTATATAAATTATTAGCTCATGGGCCTTATGACACAGGCCAAGAATCAGATTTGCCCTGGAGGCTACCATTCGCCTACCTCATAGAGTGACTGGGTCTAGAGGAAAGCAGGAGGGATAGAAGAAGGTCAGATAGAGAGACTGCAAGGTTAATTTCAGTTCTCAGATTCTCATTTAAAAGCCAAATTTCAGTTTTGTTGGTGATTTTATTTTTTAAATCCTGAGGTCTCTTGTTCCACTTTATGGGGCCCAAGCAACTAGGTTGGCTTTTTATTGCCTTTAATTAGAGAACGTTAAAAGCCTTTTGAATTTCCCCAGTGGATCCTATTAAATTATCTTAGGTGGTTTTGGGTAACTGAGTAGAGTTTAGGTTAGCTCTATGCAGGAAGTTTATTCCTTTGGAGATGAGAAAATGACTTATAAAGAATACACACTTAAGGTACTTCACAAGATGGGAAAAGAAGTGGAGAATGAACAGAGAAATTGAGCACTGCAAATGACTTGTGAGGTCTCTGAGTTTCCCCTCCTATTCTGGGCACTACTCTAAGAAAAGCTTTATACTACTACTAGAGGCCCAATACACGAAATTCGGGCAAGAGTAGACCTTCACAGCCCTAGCTTCATCCAGAAGGTCGTCTGGAATGGCGTCCAGAAGGGCGTGCGAATGGTAGTTCTACTGTTCGGCCATTCAGTCTATTTGCATATTATACTTTTATTATTATAGATAACACATGCATACACACGTGCCACACACACACACATTTGTTGAACATTGACTTTATGCCAGATACTGTACCTAATGCTTTCATGTATGTAATTTCATTCAAACTCCTGCCACTCACATAGGAGGTAAACAAACTCAGCTAAGCCATATCAGTAATTGTGCTGCCAGCACCAGATGGCTCACAAAGGATATAATCTGGCACGTTGGTGAGCAGAGGAAATGTCTTCAGTATCCAGTTATTTGCAACAAAGAGCAATGCCAGTTACTTTTTTTAAATTGCATTTTTTTTCTTTCTTTTTGTTTATTTGTTTTGCTTTAAATAAAGACGAGCATATTGATTTATGCAGCAATGCTTGGCTGGAATTTGCTCTTCCTAGAAATGTAAATGTTACTTTAAAGGCAAGAATATTCCTTTTTAAAGAATCTTCTTTTTGAAGGTGGAAGAAATACAAACAATACATGGAAAAATTTATGTTAATTAATTATGACACAGGATTATATTCTTAGTTATAAAAGCCAAAGGAAGGAATTGAAGGCAGAAAGTCAGTTTCCTCTTTATTCGACACATTTCCTAAGCTGCAGTAGTTAGTCCATTCTCTTGGAGGCCATTGACGTCCATTTAAAATGTTACATTCAACTATAATTTAAACCGATGTTAATACATTTCCAAGAAGAGGCCAACATTCAGCAGCGAGGCACAGTGAACAGAGCCCCTGGCTGTGGAGAGCAAGACTCGAGGGTCAACATCCCAGGTTCTCTCCTGCCCAGTCCCCGTGTAACTGAGTGCGCTTCTTTAACCTCTCCGTGCCTCAACCAGTCTTTCTGGTTATTGTTGTTAATCCTCACCTGAAGATATTTTTCCATTGATATTTAGAAAGTATAAGGGAGGGAGAGATTCACAGAGAGAGGGACATTAATGACACCAAGGTACATGCTCTTGACTGAATGAACCCATGACCCTTCAGTCCCAAGGCCGACACTCTATCCACTGAGCCAAACTGGCTAAGGCTCAGCCTGTCTTTTATCTACAAAATAAGAGGTTTAGAGTAGAATATACCTTAAAGTCTACTCCAGTGCCAACATTCTATGACTGGCTGTACATTTGAGAGGAATAATAAGAAACTGGAAAAAAAAAAAAAAAAGCCATCTATCTTATCTTTTTTAAAAATTTAGTTTGACCATCTATTATCTGAATGCTACCGCAAAGGGCCAGAAGGCAGCCAACCTGGATCTACAAAAGAAGATGAAACAGGTGGGTTACAATGTATTTCACAGAATTACCGCCTTTAAGGAGGTAGTGGGAAACACCAGCAAATTTCATGTTTTTCTTCCCTCCCCCCCCCCCCCGTTCTCATTGTGTAGCAAGCTCTGGAGAACAAACTGCGAAACAAGAAGATGGCAGCGGCTCGAGCAGGTTGGAGATGTGTTTACGTTTGCCATTTTCTTCTCTGCCTACACACAGTGTGATCTCTCTTCTTTCTTTAAATGGGGCATTTGCTGCCCAGTGGCATAATTACCCTAACTAAGCAACTCATTCCCCATTCCTGCTGTCCACCCTCCTAGCCCTCTCAGGCATCTTCTCCAGGGGTTTGCTTGTCCCAGCGGGAGAAAGGAATATACAGGATGTCAACTCAGCAGTAGTGACAGAAAAGTGATCTTGCAAAATGACTGGAAAAATAAAAACCAAAACAAAAATCCCCACAATATAGTCATATACAGATAGATACAAATGCAGATTCTCTTCTGCCCATTTGAACATTTTTGTACCTAGAAAAACACACTGGGAGTATCCCATGAAGGTCCTCTGAGCTCACCACCATTGATTGTCAAAGCCTTTTCTGATTCATTAACCTTCCTTTCTTTTTAATCTTGTTAATTTTTAAAATATTAGAGCCAAGCATATTTAAAATATTAGAGCCAAGCATATTTCTATTTGTCAAAATTACTCTGCTTTGTGTTCCGCATGGAAAAGTAGTTATGTTTTCCTTAGATTTTTTTTTGTCACTAAGCCACTTTTTTTCTTAAGTGCATTACATTTTTTTCACCATTATTGAGGTATAATTCACAGATAAAATTGTAATACATTTAAAGTGTACATGTTATGATTTGATGAGCACATACATTATGAAAGGATTCTCACCATTGAGGGAATTAATACATCAGCACCTCACACATTTACCTTTTTATTTGTTTTGGTGAGAATGCTTAAGTTCTGTTCTTTTAGAGAATTTAAGCTATACAGTACAGTATTACTATATACAGTGACTATGTTGTACATCATAGGCTCAGACTTCATTCATCTTATAACTAAAAATCCATATCCTTTCACCACCTTTCCCCTCTTCCCCTGTCCCCCATGCTGCTGACAACCACCATTCTCCTCTCTGTTTCTCTGAGGTCAAGTTTGTTGCTATTGTTAGATTACACATATAAAAGATACCATGCAGTAGTGTTTGTCTTTATCTGTCTGGCTTATATCACTTAGCATAATGTTTGCTCATTTCATCTATATTGTCACAAATGGCAGAATTGCCTTCTTTTATAAGGCTGAATACTATTCCATTGGGACATTGGAATATATACGCACACACACTCATATACATACCTCATACACTAATATACTCATACACACACACACACACACACACACACACACACACACCACAGGGGTAGGCAAAAGTCAGTTTATAGTTATGAGTACACAAAACAGTTTATTATTTATTATTTGTTAATTAACTAGAGGCCTGATTCACAAAATTCATGTGAGCGTAGGCCTTCCTTCTCTTGGCTGCTGGCATCAGCTTCCCTCCAGCACCCAGGACCCGGGCTTCCCTCCACCCATCGTCAGGCACCCAGGATCCAGGTTTCCCTGCAGCCCTGGCTTTGTCCAGAAGGTCCTGTATATATATCACATTTTTAATTCATTTATCCATCGTGAGACAAGATAGAGACTTGGGTAGTTTGCATACTTTGGCTATTGTGAATAATATTAGAATAAATGTGGGAATACTGATGAATGATTTCATTTTCTTTGGCTATATATCTAGAAGTAAGATTGCTGGATCATATGATAGTCCTATTTTTAATTTTTTAAAATATTTCTTTATTGATTTCAGAGAGGAAGGGAAAAGGAGAGAAACATCATTGATGAGAGAGAATCATTGGTTGGCTTCCTCCTGCATGCCCCCTACTGGGGATGGAGCCCACAACCCAGACATGTGCCCTTGGCTGGAATCAAACCTGGGACCCTTCAGTCCTCAGGCTGATGCTCTATCCACTGAGCCAAGCCAGCTAGGGCTATTTTTAATTTCTTAAGGAATCTCTATACTATTTTCTACAGTAATTGTACCAGTTTACATTCTCACCAGCAGTGTACAAAGGGTTCTCTTTTCTTGTCATGCTCATCAGTACTTATCTCTTGTCTTTTTGGTAATGGACATTTTAATAGGTATTAAATGGTATCTCATTGCAGTTTTAATTTTCATTTCTGCGATGATTAAATGATATTGAATACCTCTTGGCCATTTGTATGCATCTTTGGAAAAATGTCTATTCAAGTTCTTTGCCCATTTTATTTATTTATGTTATTTATTTATTTTTTAAACCCTCATCAGAGGATTTTTTTAAATTAACTTTTTAGAGAGAGGGGAAGGAATAGAGAGAGGAATAGTGCAGCCACTGTGGAAAAGAGTGTGGAGTTTCTTCAAAAAATTAAAAATGGAACTCCCATTTAACCACTGTGATCTCACTTCTAGGACTATATCTTAAGAATCAAGTCAGACAAATATATGCACCCCTAAGTTCATAGCAGCATTATTTATAATAGTTCATATCTGGAAATAGCCCACGCATCCCTCAGTAGATGAATGGATAAAAAAGCTATGGTACATTTATGCAATGGAATACTATGCAGCTGTAAAAAGATAAGAACTTATTACCCTTTGAGACAGCATGGAGGGACCTGGAGGGAGATTATTATGTTAAGTGAAATAAGCCAGTCAGAAAAAGACAAATATCACACGATCTCACTTATATGTGGAATCTAATGAACAAAATAAACTGATGAATAAAATAGAACCAGAGGCATGGAAACATGGAACAGACTGACAAATCTCAGAGGGAAAGGAGTATGAGGGGGGAGAGATTAACCAAAGAACTTATACGTATATATGTATTACCTATGGACATAGACAATAGGGTGGTGAAGGCTTGGGGAGGGACAGGAACTGGATGGAGGGAAGCAATAGGGAAGGACCACTATAATACTCTCAGCAAAAAATATTTTAAAAATAACCTTAAAAAAGGAAACTGGCCTGGCTGGTGTGGTTTCGTGGTTGAGCATCAACTTATGAACCATGAGGTCACTGTTCAATTCCCGGTCAGGGCACATGCCTGGGTTGTAATGTAGGCTCAATCCTCAGTAGGGGTCATGCAGGAATCATCCCATCAGTGATTCTCTCTCATCATTGATCTTGCTCTCTCACTCCCTCTCCCTGCCTCTCTGAAATCAATGAAAGTACATTTTTAAAATTTTTGATTAATTAAAAAAAAGAAATTCAATGTGCAACACATTTGGAAAATATAGATTTAAGGTACCTCATTCAGAATCATTAAGCTCACTGAAAGCAACATCTTTATTTGCTTTCTTCTTATGTTCTCTCTCTTTTATTATTAATTAATGTATTTATTTTGAACAGCTGCAGCTGCTGGTGGCCAGTAACTTTCACAGATATGCTGGGGACCCAGAAGTACTCTTCTCCTTGCTCTTTAAAGGTAATGACTTACGTGAAGGCCCAGGAACAAGCATTGTGGAGTTGCTATGCTCCTGTTTTGACTCTGCTGGATTATCAAGGTCAGACTGGTCAATAAGTCATCACCAGACCTACTGAGACAAGAAGGATCTCCACCTTAATCCAAATTAAGGATTTGTTCCCGCACTGCCATTTTCTCCCCTCACCCATTTCCTTGACATTATTTTTTTCTCTAACAAATTGAATTTAAAAGAGGACTTGGTTCAGTAATATAGTTTAATTTGGAAACCTTATGCTCATTCCACTTTGTATATTTCTTCTGCCTTAGTGTTCTTGTCTGGGAGCAGGACTACTATACCTTCTTTTTCCAAGGTTAGAAATATCTTTATTAAGTACTCATTTTAAGCATTCATTAACTCACTGTTTGAAACCAACCCACTGTTTTCTATCTTTTTTTTTTTTTTTTCCTACTTGTCTTCCTGTCCATGACCCACACAAGCATACACCCAAGGCCTTTTTATTTGCTGCTGGATTTAATATAAAATAAAATGGCTGTTTTTGAAGAAATATCTAAGTGAATTAAGGACCAGATCAACACAAGGCTGAGGAGGTACATGGGTCTTAGACAACCCAACTTTTAAGAGTAAAAAAAAAAAAAAAAAAAAAAAAAAAAAAGATACCACAAGTGATTGCTATTATATCACAGTCTGATTATTTGACCTCCAATGATCATATCTCCTGAGTTTAGATTCTCGTATTGCATAGTTTTGCTTTGCTTTTTGTTCAGGTTAGGAAAACACTTTTTTAGGGGGGTGGGGCTTCAGCTTATAGATGTGCTTAAGCATTATTATTTATTTAAAGTTTAACTTGACTTGGAATGTTCTTAGCCGGCCTGTGTGACTTCAATTACATCTCCTAGCTCACGTCCTTTTCCAGAGGTAAGCCAATTTGCCTGCCATTCCCTGCAATTGACTTGCTGGTTTGTATTGCCCTGTCTTTGAATATCTCTTTTTCTATCTTTTACTGGCCATCAAATGGTCACCCTGTTCCTCTACCAACCCATGTGCTCCATCACACCAAATTCCAGGCTTGCTTCCTCCGGTCAAATTATCCAGACTAGTCTTTATTCCCAATTGTATCACTCCCTTGATAGTCCTCATTTGGACTCTTGTGTTTTTAATTCAGATTTTATTAATTTATTGACTTTCCTGAGAATTGTAATGTTTCTTTATTGTTTCTTGTATGTGTGGTTCTTTCCTATCCAGATTGTAAGCTTCCAATGAGCAGGGAATCTTATCTTCTATCTCTTTTGTACACCTATTATAGTGCTGTGCACAGGTAGGCTCTGAATAAATGCTTGTTAATTAAATTGAATCAATTTAACTTACAGCAGTTGCATTGTAAAACAAAAACTTCTGTTATCTGCATGAAAATATTACTATGATGTAAGAAATGAAATTATTTGTTGATATGCTGATTTTATTGTCTCATTTGATTATAATGAAGATGATTTAATAAAGCTAGTGCTTATTTTTACTTAGATCATTGGAGTACTGTGCAGTAATAAGATCAGGGAATTGGTTTGTGTGTGTTGCCAAATTTACAATGGGAATTACACTCCCTTATTCTTGATCTAATTTATAAGGAAGATGATGAGAGATGACAAACTGTCCCCCAAGGATTTCATCTTTAAGAGCAACGTACTTTTTTGAACAAATGCTTATGGTATGCAATTTCCATCTTTCTCTAAGTTAAAAATAAGTTTGATTTTCATTGCACCTAAATACCTACCTTATTTAAGTTAAGCATTTTAAGAAAAATTTACCCTTTCAATTTCCAGACAGCTGTTGAAAATATTTCCATACTAGTACATGTACAAGTACCTGTGGACCTAGATACATCGTTTTAATAAGACTCCATTAGTATAGTCCATTTTATTAACTAGATTTCTTTTGTAAACAAACATATTCTGCACCAGCTAGCACATTATGCTTAAGTTAAGCAATGAGAAAGAAATGGAAAGACTAATTCAAGATCATGTAGTACTTCAGATAGGAAAATATATTCACCAATATGCTGGATAATTATTAATTGGCAGCTATTTTGGATGCCTTAATCTTCAAAGGGAAAGCAAAATTCTAACTGTATGATTTCCAGTGAGATAGGATATAATTGTGCCCCTTTTATATAGAAAAGAATAAATAAAACAAGCACAAATCAGGTGACCTGCCCATTGCAGTAGGCAGAAACACTAAGGGTCAGGATTTGCAGGGTTTGGGAAGTTGTTTTGGGAGGGTGGGACTGTCTTCAATGAAGCATTGCACCAAAAAGAAGGAGCTCCTCAGCTTTATTCTCTGTGCTGTGTGGTTTCTGCTGGAAACAGGAATACAGGATTTGCAATCAAAAAGTAAAATTGCTTAATACGACTTTGGGTATTTTTACAAAACTTTGGAACTTTTGAAGGTAGATGCTGAATAAACATAGCTAGCTCATTCTAATTTGGCATTCGTTCATACTTATGTATCTAAATGACTCAGCCAGACTCAGGACTCAGTGCTGGCTTGCAATATTAGTGATAATATTAGAGCTGCAATATTGATTCCATACTGCAGGTTAGGAGGCACCAAAACATTGTTCATTGTGTTGCTCATAATTAAGCAATTTTGCGTTGATGTTTTGTTTGTTGGTCAACCAAACATTTCATGGGAATGTGCATCCTCATTTAAAATAGGCAAATATGGACACATGTCACTTGACTTTAAGGAAATTGTTCAATCAAAATCTCTCATCTCTAAAATAGGGATAATAAGAGTCCTACTCCATATGGCTTCTCTATTTGAGGTTAAAAGAGATAAAGCCTGCATAGAACATAGTACAGTGCCTAGGATATAGCTAGTGCTCAGCAGTAACCATGGTTGTCATCCTTGTTTTTAAGAAGCTCAAAATATTTGCAGTCATGGTATAATCAATTTTTCTGCTTGACCATCTCCTTGACCAAACTCTGTGAAGTAATTAAGGGCATCGCTGAAATGAGAATTAGTCACATGGAGATAGGTTGAAGGGGAAGGTGTTTGGGTTATTGACCTCAGGGTTAATAAATATGTTTGAGATGGAATTCAGAAACGTGTAAGTGACCCTGAAATAGCTCATCAGCAGATGAAAACCGGCCCGCTGCAAAAGGACCCATGGCTGGAATTTCAACTGATCACAACTGAATGTGGAGTGAGGTGATTCCATGGGGATTGTTTGCCCCTAGTGCAATGGTCAGCAAACTCATTAGTCAACAGAGTCAAATATCAACAGTACAACGATTGAAATTTCTTTTGAGAGCCACATTTTTTAAAGTTAAACTTCCTCTAGCACCACTTCTTCAAAACAGACTCGCCCAGGCCATGGTATTTTGTGGAAGAGCCACACTTAAGAGGCCAAAGAGCCGCATGTGGCTCTCAAACTGCAGTTTGCCGACCACAGCCCTAGTGGAACAATAGATAAGACCTAGTGAAAACAGCCTTTTGGACCTTTATCACAGATGGGCCCCCATGTATCTTAACTCAGCAGGAGCCTAGATAATTGCAGGGGCTGAGTGGTGGAGGGAAAGAGCACTGGACTAGGAGTGAGGGCCAAAGTTTGAGTTCAAGTGCTGTTCCTGATGTTCCCAACTAAAAGTGTTACCCATTGGCCCTGTGATTTTGTTGTTGTTGTTATGATTATTTGTTTTCTGACTGGGTCTAATCTCCTTGGAGATAACAGGTAGGAATATATATAACCATCCAGTCTTCAGTATGGGATGGGAAGCACTACCCTACAAAGTGCGTATCTGTGGGGCACTTAGTGTCAGGCACTGTACTAGGCTCTGGAGCCCAGCATTGAACACAACAGATCTCTTTCCATAAAGAGGATATAGACAATAAACCATCACAAAAACAAACTGAATAAACACACAAGTAAATGTTTGAAAATGAAGCAAAAGCAACTTCTGCTACTGACAATGACTAAGAAAAAAGGTGCAATGAATTAAATGTGATAGAGTGGCTGGGAAGGCTGCTTTAGCAAGGTAATCAGGGAAGCTTGTCTGAGAAGGTGACAATGGAATCGGAACAGAAACACAACTGATAAGAAAGGGTCAACCAGAGGGCAGTGCTTTGAAAGGTTTTGATTGCCTAAGACCTTGTGTGGGGAGTGGGTGGGACTCCATAAAAGGTGTTTAAATCACTGTGCACTAGATAGTTGAAAGCTCAATCATGATTCCCTTGTTTTAGAGAAATAAACACCACTTTCAAAAGAGTTTTGAGTATAATCCATATCTGCTCTACATACTCCATTTTTACACTATTTTGTTAAAAGACAAAAAAGCATAGGATTGGCTAAATACAAGAAATGATGAGAATGAAAGAATGCAGTGGCTTAATGATGTAGTGTTTTTGCTCAAGGTGGCCCAGCCAGGAATTGACAAATCTGGGAACCAGAAGAATCCTTTTCCAAACATTTGTGCTCTTTCAACATTGGAGGTTTTTTTTTTTTGCTACGTACTTCTTCCTTTAACAGGGATCATGAACCCAGAAGCCAAAGCAACCAAGAGAGTAACACAGTAAGTGAAGTGGTCTAGTGGAAATGTGGTGAAATGAGAACTGTCCTGGAGTGTGAGCTACTCAATTCTAGCTAATTATTGCAGACCCAGTGCTCCCAGATTTTCCGATATTTAAAGAGAAACTGGAAACCTGCATTTTTACACCATGTACTAGAATATTTTAAATGTTAGTAATTAGCACACATTAACACACACACACACACACACACACACACACACACACACTCCATCTGTCAGCAGGATGCTGTCCAAGGGTCACTCTGATATTTCTGATATTCAATGTTCTTTAAATAAACAGCCCTCTTTTTCAAATTCTGAAAACATTTTTTCAGGACTTTTTTGGTCTTATTGTCTGGAAAAAAAAAAAAAAAAAAATTCTCG